TGTTAGGTGTGATGTTTAAAGATTTTTATGTATCATGTCTAAAGAAACATAAGCTTACTTCTAGAATTTTTTTTTTAGTTATTTTTTTTATTTTCTTTCATTTTTTCTACCCTAAATAGACCCTATTTTACCGTTTATGAATACTATTCGTAACCTAAACTTACCTTCAAACAACCCTAAATCCTAAAGCCTACCATTCCCCTACTTGTCCAGCATCAGTTTTTTTAGCCCGTGCTTCAAATTCCTAACTGTCTGCCCTGTCTATATTTTAGCTTCCACAGTGCAATATTGAGTTCTAGAGGTATAAAACTCCATCTAACATAAGAATCACTTCCTCATGTCCTATAACTACTCCATCAATAGCCTATACTTAAAATTGTGAATCAAGGAAATATTAAACAAAGCAAAACTGAATTTCTCTACAAGAAACACATAATTGGAAGGGTCAAAAGAAAACAACTTAGAAGGAAACTTCAGAGAGAAACATACATCTATACCACGAACTCCAAGGATGAAAAATCGATAGACTGTACCAGCCAGCAGATAGGCTCCGAAGACACAGAAGAAACTGGAGATGAAAAGAAAAAAAACAAGTCAGCAGCAGTAGCTTCTCTACTCTAGGACTAATATAATTAGCCATGTTCCATGCTAGAAATAATTAAACAAGACAGAAACCCTCACACTGTTAGAAGAGTACCAAACCAGCCCCATCCTTTCCCATGAACATGTATGATTGTTGCACAACCAGAAGGATGCCGCATCATTGTGGCCTGTAAAAAGAAAAGGGTCATGAAAACTGTTTATGAATGTTTAAAATGCTTATCCACCCACAAATCAGGGAAAAAGGATTAGGATAAAAGAGATCTTGATGTCAGGCAATTAATTCACTGTTTGCAATTTTAACACAGTTGACTAATTTGTTACATTTTCTCATGGAAAATGGCTTTATTGACATCCCTCCATTTTACATTTTAAGACATGACCCTTGAAAAGCTTAGTTAGTTACATTTTCTTATGGAAACTGACCTTCACTGCATAAATGCTGACAAATAGGAAAAGGGGTAATACCTCCCAGTTATGTCTTTAGAGAAAACATATACATTTGACTTCAAATGAAACAAGAATTATGCCAAAAAAATAAAAAACAGAAGTAAGCAAAACTAGAATACAGAGCCTAGACATTATGAATGAGTGTCAAATACTATTAATAGCATATTGAACAAGCAATACTGAAACTAAATATTAATTCTCATAAATCTCAATTAGGCAAAATTTTCAAAATCATTCAGAATTTGTATCATTCATAGCAAAATCCAATTCTTGAACATTATGCCATGACTGAGGATGTGTACATAAGCATGAGCAAGTAAAACCACAAAGTCACACACACACACTATAATGGTCACAAAAAACTGAAGTCTGCATGAGGTTAGGAATTAGAAGTCATAACCCTATGCTGGAGAAAAACAATGTTAAACAACAACAACAACAACAACAATAATAATAATAACAATAATAATAACAATAACAATAATAAGAAGAATAACAATAATAATAACAATAACAATAATAAGAAGAATAACAATAATAATAACAATAACAATAATAAGAAGAATAACAATAATAATAACAATAACAATAATAATGAATGTTTTAGATACTCACATAATTGCAGTTCCCTAATATCTCCATTGAATCTGGCCCCTATTATACAGCATTGCCAATAAGGTGTAGATCAGAAAAAACCAGGCATGAACAATTGCAGCAAATTTATTTTATCAGCAGTTGTCAAAGTTTAAGGAAAAAGTTCTCACTTGAACTCCGTTTGAATCACAAATGACTGAAACAGAGAGAGAACAATTATTCTTTTGGCTGGCACTTGACATTCTAACAATGACACCCTTGCGAGGATTGTTTTTATCTGATATGTACATGTAATAGGACCATCAATATTCACAAACAGATTGTGATAAAAAGTTAAAGTTCTAAACTCTGAAATATCCAACAATACAGCAAGGGAAGGGTAAGAATACAAGTAATACTGTTGTTCTTTTCTTGGGATTAGAGAGATACCAGCTTACCAATTATATCGACATTCATTTTTGAGACATGACCAATGGCAGTGCATACTGGGTAACCTGCATGTAGCCAAGAGATCCTATTACACGTTCCCTTCTCCAGCACAAGTAATTTGTCTTTTAAAAATAGGCAGGAACAAACCTTGACTTAGCTTGACCATTGAAACCATAAAAGACAATGGAAATAAGAAATCATGCTACAGAACAATAACTTTATTCAGGAAACATGAAGTTTTTAGAGTTGGCAATTAAATTTCACCCAGTACTAATTGGATTGTTGGTTCCCATAAAACAAGCAACATAGTGTAAGAAACTCTCCTCATTCAAAGATGTGTAAGATAAAACTATTACATTAAATGCATACAACTTTTCCAAATTTAATACCTAAAACATTGCTTCCTGCAAGCGCACTGCATTCAATTCCACAGTGTGCTGGACCCCCGCAGTCCTAAAAATATGAAAAAATTGAATAATGGAAAAAGGGAAAGTATATCAAACATGAATTTACAATCTAATGTTGGTTTCTTTCACAATTATCCATGCAAAGAAATAATTTCTCTAAAATTCCAGAAGTAATTACCAGGCATTCAACACATGTAGGTGGCTCATGGTTGAAAACCATTCCATCACAAAGCTGCTCCACACAGTCCATGATAAGAAACCAAATAGGAAGATAAGTTTAAGTCATATGATATTAAGCATATACTGGTTAACAGCTTTGGAAGATGATAATGAAAGCACTAATACTAAATTACTAATAATTCAAAGCTTCTGTACAACAAGTCCAACCAATTTTTTGGGCAATATAGAGGACCTCAATAATTGCATTTGAACTTCAAAAGATCATGAGTCTCACTTCAACATGGACATAATGAAGTAAATTGAAGAAACAAACC